GATCTCGCGAACACGAGGGAGGGGAAGGAGTTGCTGCGTAGGAGGCATTACAGGGAGGTCGTCGTTTACGACGATTGCACCGACGACGTGGACCGGCTGCCCGTCCAGCATCCTCTGTTCCTCGTGCTCGTCGCGTTGTTGGACGACAACAGGGAGCCTGCTCTTCTTTTGGGTGAGTGTTTTTTTTTTTTTCTTTCTTTTCTTTAAGAAGGATTTTAGATTTTAGGAGTCAGAGATCCGTTATCGGTCGGGGAGAAATGATACGTTTGAATTTCGAAGTTTGTAATGTAATAATTTTATGAATTATCAACGAATTAAGAAGGAAAAGGAGAAAGGGGAGGGAATGATAAGATAAAATTTGAAGCATCTCTGTAGGAGGCAAAATGTTAGATCGTCGAGGAGCGAAGAACGAAATTGCGCGGGAAAATTGAATGGAGAAACGAGAATGGAGGAAGAGAGACGTGGGTGCGTGAAGATACCGGCGGTGGCTTCTCTCTGTCGAGTAACAGTACTTCTTTACTCCACTAAACGCGTTTTCTCGCCTCGTTCCGTCGAGATACGTGCTCGCTTTACGGAATGCGGCTACCGGTGTTGCGCGTCCACCAACCGAGCCGCACGACTCATTGACGGGACGTCGAGCGTCCACGATCCACCCTCCCCACTCTTTCCGATTCTCTTTTTAAATTATTCAAAATCTCGTTTTCGCTCTCGAATAACAGGGAATAATTTAGAAATTTTATCCTCCAAAATAATCGTCCAAAAATAAAAAAATTTCGAAGCAACAAATATACTCGAAACTTTTGAAACCGTTCTGTAAGAAAAAAATGTAAATGACAAAGAGGCTCAACATCCAAACCTGTCTTTATCTCGTCTTGATTTATTCCTTCGCAACGCTCGATCGAAAGGAGTCGAATCGAATGGAATCGACGCGTCCTCGATAACGAATTCACGCGCTTGAACTAGTGCGTCACAAACTAGTGTCTATCGTCACGAATTAGTCAATCGTTCAAGATTGGTAATGCTCGTATTTTTCCATGTCCCGTGTTTGCATCTAGAATCCAACGACGATAACAACGGCGATGGCGCGAAAGAATCGAAACGACGCAGATCGGTAGCGGTAAACATTGATTCTATTAAAAATCGTGTCCACGATATATATACGGCACTCGCGCGTCATGAATGAAACGAAGATTCCGCTGAATTTTCCGCTGTTTAGTTTCTATTCGCTGCGCACGTGGCTCCCGTCGGCCAAAATTTATTTTACATTCAAAATAAAATGTCGAATCTGGCGTTTTGACCGGGAGAATTAGTCAGTTTTCGAGAAATCGGGGCAAATAAATTGGATTATTTCTAAATTAGAAATTTTTTTTACAATTTTAGAAATTTTAGAAATTTTAGAAATTCGAGAAGAACGTCTCTTCTTATGTTAAACTGAGTATTTTTAGACATCGAATTTTTGCGAGAATAACTCGTGAAAGTGCGCTCACGATGCAACGCGTAATTACACCGACTCGCAATTGACAGAGACGATTGTGAACGCGGCATAATGGCGCGCGCGGCGGCTCGAACGAAGGAGGAAGGTCGTTAGGAAGATTGCATGGAAAATGAGAAGGGAGAGGGAAATTGGATATATGAAAGTGTTATCAAGACTTACTAGTTCATTCAGTTGCCAAGGAAAATGAATGAGATTTTGATTCCGATAAATATTTATTATTTTGTAAAACAGGGGAACGAGTTGAACGAGTTTTGATCGATCGTTCGTTTATTGCGATTCGAAAAATTTGCATTTTAGAATCGCTCGCGTGTTTCTCTTTTCTTTCCTCTTTTCTTTCTTTTTTTTTTTTTTTTTTTTTTTTTTTTTTTTTATTCTCACCGCGATAAAACTAATTGTAATAAAATTCGTACACGCCTTATCTTTATGATTATTTTGCGGAATAAGAAAGATTACGTTCCCTACCTAGGCCGGGCAATTTCTGTACCAATTAAAGATTTAAGACCATTACCGAAACCAATTGGAACAAAATACCATAATTCATCCGATCTTAAATACTAAAGAAAAAGACCTCTTTAATATCCCCCCTCCCCAAAAAAAAAAAAATCAAAATTAATAATTATACCAAAAGATCCAAGAAATCCATCATCAAATATGAAATCAAATATGAAAAAGCAATCTTCAAAGATCTCGAAGCGATCCTCAGTTAATTCCCCAAAATTTGCATTGAAACAAAAAAAAAAAAAAAAAAAACACGAAAAGAAAAGACACGGCGAAATCACGTGAAAGCTAAGCGGGCCAGCTGTTGCAGCGGAATTTTGCAACTGCTGTAATCTGCACAGGTGGAGTGGGGAGGGAGTAGACGCGGAGGAAGCGGATGGAAAGGGGAGGGGGAAGACGATTACGACGACGATTCCTCCTCCGTGTCGGTGTGAACGGCGGGGAAAAAGAAGAAAAGCGATGCGGTGGAAAAGCGTGGATGCCTTCGCGACACTTAATCGAGATATTCGCGATGTTTGGCGGATGGAATCAGAGAGGCGCACTGGTGGCACAGTGTAGTGCGCAAATTCTGTGCCCGACTATTCGCGGCGTCATCTCCAACGTGAGTCATTCCTATGAATAGATCCCCACCTTTTGCCGCGGCTCGTGTGTTTGTATCGGCCGTGCGTCGTGTCGTGCGTATATTCGTGCGCTCCGTTCGTCGCCTTCTTCCTCCTCTCTCTCTCTCTCTATCCCCTCTACCTCTCTCTCCCCTCTGTCGCTTCGTTGATGATCACACTCGACGCGTTTTCTCACCTTTGAACGCTCGGTCGCGCGTTCTTTTTCTCTTTCTTCCTCTCTTTCTTTTTTTCTCCTTCTCGTTTCGATCTCTTTTCAGAGAGTGAGAGAGATAGAGATTCTTCAATCGTTCGTAAAATACTTCGTAGATTTTCGATAGAGAATTTCTCTATTTTCCTTTCGGCCTCCTTTCTGCCGAAGTGTGTGCCTCGAATTCGTGAATCGAAAATATCGATCGAATTCTTATTAATAATCGTACGGGACGATAATAATAATAATTCGAAACGATGCTTCGACACTCATCTTTCTTTCTTTCTTTTCGAAAGGCCGCTTAGTCATCGAGATATATATATATATATATATATATTCGGAGAGTTGTTCTTTCGCTCGTCGAGGACATTTTTTTTTTCTTTCTTCTTTCGAATCTATTGAAAAGTTGAAGAAAAAGAATAATAACGAACGATAAAGGGAAAATAAAAATCGCGTGATCGTGATAGGATTTCTATTCCGAAGAGAAGAGCAATAAAGTCGAAACGAATAACGGAATCGAAAACCCGCTCTTATCGGGCGCCCGTTTATCACTCGGCTTCGGAAGGCTGAATGGCGGTCGGTTGGTGCGCGTGCGCGCGTTAAGGCAGCTTTTCACCAAACGGCGAAAAACGGTGGGTAAACAGGAGGTGCGGCGTAGGGGGAATATTTGCGCTCGAGTCGATCGGGAACTGCGTACGCGGAATGCACGGATGAGAAAAAAAACGGGCAGCCTTAGAATTATGAAGAAAAACCGGCGAATGACTCACGCCGTTCTGAACGGCCTTCTCCTTTCGACTCCCTCGAGTCGATCACGAGACTCGGTTGTACGCTGCACAGAATGTTAACGAGCCAGCCAGTGATCCAGAAACGTGCTATCTTCGACGAGTCATCGTTCATTTTTGATATCCTGACTTTTTATCTCTTGAATTTGACGAGAGAAATTGTTTTTTTTTTTTTTCCTCTCTTTTTTGTAGATAAATGGAAACTAGAGCAACGTTTCTCAATCTTCTTTTTTTTTTTTTTTTTTTTGATAAATTGGTTAAATTTTTTTATTTTTATCGAACGTATACGTTTAAATGCATTGAAATATTCGAAGTTCTGAAATATATTTATATATACTTCTTCGTTTCCTCAAAGCTTAAAGAGAGGCGTGCAACGTTGGTAAACACGGACATTTTCGAAAGAGACAACGTATTCGCTTATTTATAACGCGATATTTTAAATAAACGTTAATTTTAAAGATGACCAGAAGAAAATTTCGTTACGATGTTTACTCGGTCGCAAATAAACGTATCGTGCACGTGTACGAAAGAGCGGAAAAAAAATGAAAATCCACGCTCAATGAATTCGCCTAGAATAAATCCGCAACATTTAAATCCGGAAGATAAGAATAGATGGTGAAAAGATGCACGAGGATCGTTTGTTGATACGTATTGGCGCCAAGGAAGTTCTAAGATCTCGATTCCAAACGTTCGGAATACGGGGATGATTCACGGTCAATGCGAACCAATTGAATTTTCGAATCCCCTTCGATTCGACTATCGATTCGAATATCGCTCGATCGATAAAAAATAAGGTCACGATAAAACGGATGTCTCGGCAGGTGGACAATTGACCGACGCCATTTTAATTATCGTACAGGAATTAATTAATCTCTATCTATTTGTGTGGATCGAAGCAGCAACGTGGTATCTTTCCTGCCGATCTTCCAATCGATTGAAATGATACTGAAAGAGAAAAGAAAAAGAAAAAAGAAATAAAATTTGGGTAAAAGAGGTTTGAAACGGAGTAGTCGAATTTTCGTACGTTCTAGATATTTTTAAGCTTTTTATTACGGTTGTTGTACATTCTCTCGATTATTTTTTAAATTTAATCTTCTTGTTTGGTTTTTTTTTTCCTATCTCGATTTTATCGTAATTTAATTCCACGATTGAAAAGTGTTGCGAGACTTTAGTTTCTTTGATGTAT